GTTTACTTTCACTCCGCTCTATTTCCTCCTTTCCCTCGTTTCCTGTTTCCGTCCGCCGCTTCCTCCTCCTCCTCCTCCTCCTCCTCCTCCTCACTCAGTCTCCTCGCCCATTCATTATCTCTAACGGCACAGCAGAGCTTCGCCAGAAGAATTGGGTTTGCAGATAAAGAAGGGAGATGTCGATGTGCTATCATGTAATGATGATGCTTGTAAGGTCAGCAATCTTCAGCTCCTCCCCCTCCCCCTTCCCCTTCCAATTCCCTCGCTCCCTTCCCCCCTCGTCGTTATCCTCCCCTTCCTCTTCCCCCTCTCCTCCTTCCCGTCCTCGTCCTCGTCTCGCTCCTCCTGTTCCCCTTCTCACTTCATTCCCTCCTTCAGGTGTTGTCCATTTAATCGTTTCGAGCGATGTGCCCGAATAAAAGGGTAACAAGTACAATATTCACAACAAGGCGAGACGCGACCGGCGAGTTGGTTCATGGGGTGTAGAATGGAATAGGATGGGATGAAGGGCGGTGGAGAGAAGTGGAAAGAAGAGGAGGGGAAGAGAAGGAGGGAGGGGGGGAAGGAGGGAGGGGAGGAGGAGGAGGGAGGGAGGAGGAGGGAGGGAGGGAGGAGGGAGGGAGGAGGAGGGAGGGAGGAGGAGGGGTCTTTAGGGGTCTGGAGCGGTTGGAAGCGATGGTTGTCAGAGTAGGATGCTGGGTCATCTCGTCAGCCTCACAGCAGGAAGAGCAAGGGGTCAACGTACTCGTCTCGCGGGGAGAAAGGACCGGTCCTCCTTGCTCCTGCCGGAAGAGTCACGACCGCCCGCACCCACCCGGCATCTCCTTGTCACCTCCCTTTGCTCGTTCTCATCCTGTTCGCTGCTCTCCTCGTCAGGCTCGACCACATTGCACGCCTCCTCACCTGATCCGCAAGTTGTTGGAGCGAGGTAGAATCCCCTTCTCCTCCAGTGCCCTGCGATCAGAGGTCAGACCGCAGACGGGAATGAGTACCAGGAAGGATGCGCACGGGAGGAGGGGCAGGCAGCAGAGGAGGAATGGAGGGAAGGAGAGGGAGCGGAGGGGAGAGCAAGGGACGGGAAGAGGCAGGGAAGGGAATGGAGAAGGCAGGCGATCAGAAAGATGCTCTACCTCCTGACGAGTTCTTGTCTGGTTGACTTGTCGCTCTTGGACAAGCAGGAAGTTCTCGAGCGAACCTGCTGGCGGGTGAGGAAGCGGACGGAAAGCAGAGCAAGCGCAGAAAGCGGCGGGGGAAGGAGTACGGCTCGAGCAGTAAGGAAGGAAAGACGAAGGAAGGAAGAAAAGGCCGACGAGGGGAAGGAGGAGATAAGGGTAGAGGAAGGAAGGAGAAAATTACCTGGGCATAAGATTGCTTGAGAGCTTCAAACCGAATGGCCATGGCAGAAGTTGTTGAGCGGCGCAGCTGAAGGAAAAGATGAGGAGGAGCAGGAGACGGATACGGTAGAGGCAGAGCAGAGAGCTGAGGAGGAGGTAGCGGAGGGCAAGGAGGAGGGAGGAGGAGGAAGTAGAGGCGGAGGAGGAGCAGCGGCAACTGCACCTGCGCTGTGGTCAACACGTTTCTCTGACGGGGGTGGCCTGCTCGCTGTCCTCTGACTTGTCTTCCGAGTGTGCAGGAAGAGGTTTCTCCGAGTTTGACTGCAAGATGGTGAGGTACGGGGAGGAGCGTTGGAGGGAAGCGCGAAGAGGACAAATGGAGAGAGGAGGAGAGAGGAGGAGAGCAGAAGGGAGCAGAGGGGAGGGAAGAGGAGGGGAGGAAGGAGAAGGGACACAGGAGAGCTAAGGCCTGGGTATATACCGAGCGAGAGCTGCTGGAGTCCTGATCAGCATCGCAGGTGCTCGAAGTCGCTTCTTCCTCCTGGTGAGAAAGACTGCCTGAGCCCGTGCTCTTGGTCGTCGAGATCAGCTGAGAAACTCAACGTGACAATTTGGACATGGAGGAAGTGAATGAACAGTAGTAGAGAGGAGAGAAGGGGAGGGGAGGGGAGAGGAGAGGAGAGGAGAGGAGAGGAGAGGAGAGGAGAGGAGAGGAGAGGAGAGGAGAGGAGAGGAGAGGAGAGGAGAGGAGAGGAGAGGAGAGGAGAGGAGAGGAGAGGAGAGGAGAGGAGAGGAGAGGAGAGGAGAGGAGGGAATGGAGGGCTGAGAGGGGAGGGAGCAGGAAGACCTTGAGGTGGATCGCTCGAGCTACAGAGTCATGGGCTTCTCCTTTCTCGAGCAGGTCCAGGGCTTTCACTGACCCCACCATGAATGTCCTGCCCTCCTGCTCCTGCCACCTGCAGACGGCGATGGGATGATCAAAAGAATATTCAAGAGCAGAGGGGAAAGGCGGGAGAAGGAGATTCTGCGCCGTTGTGGAGAGGGGAAGAGGGAAGGAGAGGAGAGCAAAAGGAAGGGAGATAGGGAGGAAGAGAGAAAAGGAAGAGGAGAGGAGGCGGGAGGGTTGAGGGGGTTGGGAAACAGGTCAATCCCACTTATAGATCTGCTTCTGCAGTGATGCGATCAACTGCAGACAATGACAGCAGCAGTCAGGTACCAAACTCGTGCTCCTCCCCCTCGTCATCCCTTCCTTCTTTACCCAGTTCCTCTCCCCTTCCTCCTCATCCCCTCCTGCTCACCTTGGGGTACTCGCGGAGCATCTTCTTGTAAACGTCGTGCTGGCTTGTCATTGTGTTCATGTTGCTCATATCCTTTGCTCCTTCACTCAGTTTCTGCAGAATCTCCTCCCTCCTCGTCAGCTGTGCCTGCAAACACCTTGTTGAGCAGGTGAAGGCTGTCGAAGAGAAGGGAAGAGGAGGAGGATGTGGGAGTGAGAGTGCTGGTGTTCCGAGGGGAGGAGAGAACTGTAGGAGGGGAGGATTGAGAGGAGGAGGGAGTGGGAGAGGCGGAAAGGGTAGACGAGGAGGAGGACACATGCGAACCTTGATTGTACGGTGCAGCACAAGGCGAGGCTCTAAGGAAGCGAGCTCACTCTTGACCAGCCGAAGGATCTCCGTCTCCCGCTCCCTCTGTCCTATCTGCAAACAAGTTTCACCGGCTTGCTCCTTCGGCTTCAAGTCCCTCACATCCTCCAGCAGATTCAAGAACTTGGGTATTGCTTCTCGTACACGCCCAGCTCGGTCCAAGCTAGACGGAAACGTCAAGGGGGAAGGGGGAGGGAGGGAGGGAGGGAGGGAGGGAGGGAGGGAGAAGGGCACCTTGCTCAAGCTTCCTTCTGTAATCTTCGATGGCTGCGCTTGCTCGCCTTGTTTGTAGAGCGAATTCACTCTCGTAGGCCTGCGGGGCAAGGAGCGATGAAAAATGTAGTGGAAGCAAGGGAGTCATGCGGAGGGAGCGGAGGGAGCACAAGAGAAGGAGGAGGAGGAGGAGGACGATGAGGAGGAGGAGGAGGAGGAGGAGGAGGAGGACGATGAGGAGGAGGAGGAGGAGGAAGGAACTTAAGGCAAGAGGATGCGGGAGGGAGAAGCAAAGGACCTGCAGTACGGAATCTGTCCTTGAATTGAATGACGAGACCATGTTCCTGGGAACAACTTCAGCTGCACACCATCTCAAGGCTCCTGGTGCCCAACCTGAACTTGCTGCGATGGCTCTCGGGGATGTCAAGGACGTCCCACAGGTGGGATAGCATCATCCGCAACTCGTCCGACTTGCTCTTCCTGTCCACCTTCGCGTTCTTGGACGGACGCTCTGCCGGTTTGCTCGAGTCCTCCTTCCTGCCGCTCTTGGGCAGGCCGAGAACGTCAGCGGCGTAACTCAGCTCGACCGGGTGACGGTGGTGGACGTAGTTGGATCGATCGCTCAACGACCCAGACTGCTTCTTGGCCTCAGGCGAGGCTTTCTTGAGTTTGTCCAGCGGCAGCTTTGAGATCTTGATTGGCTCCTTTGGGGGCACATGCGATTCTTCGCTGCCACCTCCTGTCGGCTGACCACTGCTGGATGACGCGCTCCTCGACGAGGCGAGTATCCTGTCGGCCTTCTCGATCACCATGTTCTGCACCGCACTGACGTCGATGGTGGAGGAGGACGAGGTGGAGCTGGCGCTCGTTCTCTTCGTCTCAGGTGGGGGCAACCTGGAGTTTGCGCTCTTGTCACGGCCGAAGTGGAACTTGGATTGGTCGAAGCCGTCGACCTCTGAGTCGGCTTGCTGCGCAGCTCCTGACGACTCCATCGACGAGTCGAGCGACTCATGCCAGCCGGGCATGTCCTTGTCCAGATCTCTGCGGAGCTGGGAGGAGGGAAGCTCCTTCTTAGGGCTAGAGCTCCATGCTTCCCTCGCGGGGCTCTTCGGACTCGTGGCCTCCCCGCGCACCAGCACGTGGTGGTTCGCATGCTGCTCCTCCGTCGATCGGCACTCGTCAAGGATGGTCTTTGTGGGCCCAGAGTTTCGGTTCGCCTCTTCAAGCTGCTCGAAGACGAACATCAGCTTTGACTCGTACTCCCGCTGCATCTGCGTGATGGCTGCATCATGCTTCCTGTCTAAGGACTGCGACGCCTGCCTCGATTCATCCAGTGCCCGTCGTGCTTCGAGGAGTAAGGCCTCGGATTCCTGGGCTTGCTCTTTGTACTCCATCGATTGTAGCCTTTCACTGTTGAGCTGTTCATAGCAAAAGAGGATCAATCTCTTCACGTCAGCGTCCGACAGCCGCGGAAGCCTTTCCTGAATCTCGAGCTGTACGTTCGAGCAATCGTTAACGAGCCTGCGAGACTTCTCAGTCTCCAGGGTTCTGAACTCCAGCTCTGCCGATAGATACTCCAACTCATCATAGAAGTCTTGCTTCTGCCTCTCAAACTCGACTTCGGAGACGTTCTTCGTATCCATGCTCTTCATCCTGGATGTGCAGGCATTCATCTCTGACTCCAGCTGAGCTTTGAGCCTTGTATTCATCTGGATCTGATTCTCTGCATCCTTTGCTGTCAGAGCCCGTCTGAGGAGGTTCTGGAACCAGTCAAGCACATCCTGATTCTTGCTGTTGTCGTTCAATTCGGGTTCTTTCTCCGCAACCTTCTGTTTCTCCAACGCAATTTGCGCCTTTCGCTTGACAACGTGCTCAGCACGAGCTGCCGACGACAACTTGGTCTCAAGCTCTCTTATGGTTCTCTTCGATGCCAGCTCGGCTTTCCGAAGAGAGAGGATCTGCTTCTCCAGTGCTTGTCGCTGCTCCCGGTGCCCCTTCGCTTCTATGGCCATCTTCTTGTGCAGTTGCGCTCTGGAGGCTTTCAAACGATCCACCTCCTGCGCCAGGTTCGCGATCTTTTGGTCACCTTGCTCCTTGAAGGCAAGCAGCCTTTCGTGGTCTTTGACTTTCTTCTTCATTCGTTTCAGCTCCTCCTCCAGCTGTCTCAACCTCGTATTCCATCGCTCTCGGTGCTGCTCGGAGGAGGAGGTGGCTGTCTTGTGCTTGTCCATCGATTCGAGCTCCTTCACGGTAGCATCCCTCTCTTCCTCGATTGCGCGAATGCTGTGCTGCAAGTCCTCCATCTTCTTCTCGTAGACACTCCTCATGGTGTCAAACTCTCGCTGGTTCCTCACGAGCTCCTGCAGCAGCCTCTCCTTTTCTACCAAGACAGCGTCCAGGTCGCTGATGTCTTGTAGTTGCCTCGCAGACGCATCTCCAGTAGTGATGGAACGATCGGTGAGGGGCGCTTCATCAAAGTCCCCACACTCGTTCAACTGGGACAAGCCCAACGTAGGCAGGTGGATACCCAAGTTCTGCGGCTCACCATGCGGACGAGGGGAGTAGTGATAGTTCTCTTCAGATAAAACTTCCTGATTCGCCGATCGAGGTGTCAAGGAAGTAACAACTCGAGGAGAGAACATCGGGTAGTCGTTGGGTAGCCCCGAGGAGACAGTACGAGAGACACAGCCTGAGGTCAGGCCATGGCAGGGCTGAGAAGCAGCCCGGAGAACTGCCTTAGTCCGACACTTTTCCTCGATCTCCTGAATCCCATTCAGAAGCTTTTCGATCTGATCGAGAGAGCAGCAGAGGCTGGAATCTTTGGTCACTGACGGGGAGTTCCGCAAGATTTGAGTTTCGTCCTGAAGCTTCTCAGTGCACGAGTAAATCTCCGCCATCGCAAGTTTGAAACTGTCCACGAGCCTCGACTGCTCGATCAGCTGCAGTTCAAGGTTTTGGATGACTGATTTCATGCAATCCACATCTTCTTCGCCGTCCCTTCCAATCTCGCCACCATGCAGTGGAAACGAAGTGTGATTGAAGGTTTGATTTGGGCTTCCAGGTTGCAAGCTGGTGTGATAGATCCCATTCTCTTTGAGTATACTCCGCAGAGTGCTGATTTCTTTTCGCAACTGTGCTATCAGATGAGAGTTTGGATCTCGGTTGATTATTGGTGTATTCTTGATGTTTCTTGCTCTGTTCGCATATTTCAACGTATTCAAACTTTCCTCAGAGTTGCTGTCAACAGGGCTGACACAAGCAATCATGAGAGTACGTGAATTTCCACCTAAGCTGTCTTGCAGCATTCTTGTCAGTTTTGAGTCTCGATATGGAACATGAACCGAATGCCTCTTCTGTTCGTCGCCAAGAGCAGAAATGACATTTCCAAGTGCTAGCAAACCAGAGTTGATGTTGATACCTTCCTTCAATCGTTCTCCCTCTGCCTTGGTCTTCTTCAATCTCTCACTTCCAGCTAGATCCACGAAGTGGAACTTCGAAACAATGTACTCCTCTTCCGCTAGATTTGCACCATCTTCTGTTCCAGCCCCGTCACTGGTGTTGAGCGCAATCAGGAAGTCGCTTTCGCGGATCAATCGCTGTTCAATGATCAAAGTAAAAATCGCATGTGATCGGCTTGAGTGCGCATTCATCTCAGTACTGCCTACTGCTCGGCGAGCAGTTCCCTGTTCCAAGAGCTCGCACATGTCCCTGAAGCTCTCCACTTCACGTTCTTCAGCCCCTGCAAAATATATTCCTCCCTGGGGATCCTCCCGAATTTGCAGCGTCGCTCTCCTGGCCCCAATGCCGAAGGGAAGGGTACTCGGGATTGAGAGGAGATCACGGAGTTCTTCGTTATGAATCTCCAAGAACGAAGCACGCAGAATCATGTTTGACGACTGCTCACGACGCCCCCTCTCCTCGAATATCTGCTTGAGCGCTCTTGGAAGCATTCCCAGGTCATCCTCTGTCAATCCATCCCTGCCACCACTTCAGACTACTTGCAAATCAAGGAAAGAACTTCATCTACCATGACGAAGAGCCCATGGTATACGTTTTCCCGGAACCGGTCTGCCCGTATGCGAACACCGTGGCATTGTAACCCGAGAGTGCGGCATCCACGAGAGGCCGGACGCTCTGGTTGTAGATGTCTTGCTGAGTTGATGATGGATCAAAAAGATAATCGAATGTGAAAGACCGCTCTCCAATAATCGCCTCGTATCAAGAGTCAAAATACAGAAGGAATAGGAAATCAAGAATCACCTGTCTTGTAGTTATGTTGCAGGCTATACAATCTTTCTCACGATTGCTCCTTTCCCTTGCAGTCTGAGGCCGTACCCGGACGGCAACTCTCACTGCCGTCTGCTCACTTGCAGTCATTTAGGTTTGTGAGGCTTTGCTCGGTAGAGACTCTTGCGGATTAGGATTCTAACTTCCGGACAGTTGTTCCATGCAGAAGATTGTCAGAACTCCATCATCCTGCACTGACCGTCAGAGTATGAACAAGGAACCACCTCATACAAGCATGGCAAACAAACCCAAGTGCACTCGAGACTCGCTGAAGTGGTAGCAGATGTATTGTGGTTCAAAACAAGTTCTGGCACGCTTCTAAGACAGCAGGAACACAGTTGAAGCCTTCGATTTGCTTCCTTTCAAAACATAGCATACATGACATGAACTTCCTCTACATGCAGGCAGTAATCGGAATCAATGTATGTAGTCCAACATTTCAACCCACAACCAAATCCCTTGCAACTCTTGAGCAATCGCCACATCTGACATCACGATATACTGGATATGATGCTAGCATGTCTCGTCTGATACGCTCACATGCACTTCCTACTCTGACTGGTTTGCTTTGAATGGATCTAGACTCTTGCTCACCAATTCTACCGTCCAAACCAACAAAATCATTGTGAGGTGCCACGTAGGATCTAGCCGCCTGCTGCTTCTGCTTATATCCTCGCTCATGGCCCTACCCAGGTGAATCTCATACATGTGCATCGCGATACATGCTCTTTATCCTCCTGCTCCAGCCCGTTCAACCGCTGAGGCTGCCCTGTTCGACCTAGCACTGCTGCCATAGAGTCCCGACGGAGGTTTGTGAAGGGGGGCTCAGGGATCAAATCAGGGGGTGGGGGTACTACCTAGTACCACTGATACCCCAATTTCGGTAACCAATGCTATAGCAATGATGGGGTACGGGTGTAACATGGGTGGTAGGGGGTTCCAGTGTCCGGGGTGGCATTGTGTTGTGCTGATAGTTGAATTTCCACAAGGGTGGGTAGATGGTTACTTTCAGAGACTTATCGTGGGGTTATGTGGTATACACCCCTACCTTTCTCAGCAATTTATGGGGTACTTGGAGGGTAATCAATGGGTGGTGAAGAGGTAGGCTATAAAATGAATGGGTGGGGTCATACCTCCGTTAATTCAAATCTGGGTGACTCGATGGTGGGGTGGTTGGGGTTGTTTGTGGGGTGGGGTAGTCCTTCAGTCCTGATCGGGAACAGCAGGAAAGGAGGGGTACATTTTACCAGCGAGATTTGGGTGAGGCACCTCTAGGTGGGGTAAGTGCCCTACAGGGGTACTTTGATACTCCAATGTACCGGTCCTTTGGTACACATTGAGCGAGTGCGGCCTCGGACCACAGCGGCGGGCCCGGCCCGGCCCGGCAACGCGGCGGCGCCGGGCCGATCACTGGCCAGGCTGGCGATTACCGGACTCCACCACTCCGCGAGTCAGACTCGGTGTCCGATTACTCAGTCAAGCTCGCCGGAACGCGCCCCCGCAGCGGCCGGGTCGGCTGAATCCGGACTCCCGCCGCAGCCGCCGGCGGGGAAGTTCGGATGCCGCGGCCCGGTGAGACTCATATCCTTCACCATCAAAGTTAGACCGTCACTTAGTGCGGTTCCGGCCCGGCTTGTCATGGACTTGACTATAACTCCAAATCATTCACTACAGGGACAGACTCCGTTGACTATGCGAATACCCCCCCTATTTGTCACCCCTGCATGATGAATACAATACCCCTTCAAAGAGGGGGTGATTGGGAATAAATTGACAACGGATATTTGTAGTCAATATCCTGATCACTTGTGGTCGAAGGGGCGCGGATGGGTCATGGCGGGGAGTAAGCGGAACATGCAGCCGCCGCCGCTGCTGCTGCTGCTGCTGTTATGCTTGACCTCAGCTCTCCCCGACACATCTCATGCTGCACAGGAGGAAGGTGAGACCTTAGTTGACTGCACTGCTTGCTGCGGGCATACTGTCACCTCGTAAACTTTTCTGCTCTTGTCAATCTGCTATGGTAGAGGGTTGTAGTTGACCGCTTTCCCAACAGTATGTCAGAGCGACGGCTTTTCAACGAGGAAACTTTTGGCTCAGTCTGATGCATGCCAATGCGGGCCTCATGGATCTTGCGGATTGAATGGAACATGCGTTTGTGAGAGCGGGTAACACGCAATCATGGGGAAATCGACGACTAAGGCTCCATGCAGGTGGACGGGCGAAAACTGCACAGAAGTCTGGTCTTGTAGGAACTCTGGTGTTTGTATCAATGGTGTTTGTGACGCGGAAGGGATTTGTCAATGTGAACCTGGCTGGTCGGGTTTGGATTGCAGTGTGGGGATTTGCCCAAAGAACTGTAGCGGGCACGGAGATTGTAAGAATCATTTGACCTTGATAGCCTTGATTATGCACGTGACTGTTACTTTGTGAATCAGGTAATGTGACGACAGGAAAGTGCCACTGCTGGGCAGGTTGGGAAGGGAGGACATGTTCGATTCAGCTCTGCCCCGGCAACTGCAACTTGAATGGAGATTGTGTAAATGGCCAGTGTATTTGTTTTGAGGGGTACGAAGGAACCTCCTGCGATATTTTCAGCTGCAAGAACAAGTGTAATGCCGAGGCTGGAAATGGCATTTGCAACCAGGTCAAGAAGCGTTGCGATTGTGCCCCTTGGTTCACAGGAGAGGACTGCTCCCTGGCACTGTGCCCTGACGATTGCTCTGGTTGGTTTCGATGCTGTTTGGTGTAGACCCTTTCCTGACGGCTATCCAGGTCATGGTGTTTGTATTGATGGGAAGTGTGCTTGCGTGGGAAATTATACAGGAGCTTCCTGCTCCTCAATACTCTGTCCAAACGATTGCTCGGGCCGAGGGTTGTGTGACGGCGGAAATTGCATGTAAGTTCTTTGTCAGGAATGATCCTGTTTATTTGTATCGGTGATGAACAAGGATAAAAGGCCAAGTGTCAAAAGCTGACGTTTTGATTTCCTATGACTGGCCTGATTTCCAGTTGCCAATCGGGTTACACGGGTGCGAGCTGTGAAATAATAGACTCCTGCGTTCCTCCTTGCATTCATGGGTAAAGCAACAAAATCTTCAAGGAAAGAGACTTCTTCTGATCTTCGAACAATGCGCAGGAGTTGCATCAAACAAGCTGGACAGAATGCTTCTTGTCTTTGTGATATGGGGTGGATGGGAGTAGCATGCGAAATGGCAAAGTTGACTACCACTGCATGGTATTTCCTTTGAAACTTTCCGTAATGTTCTGGTAATTCCCCCGCAGCCAAAGAAATTGCAGTGGCCATGGTGCTTGTATTGATGGATCTGTATGCGAGTGTACAGCTGGATGGTATTCAACAGACTGTTCCCTTCAATGGCAAACCAACGATACCTGTCCGTCATCCTGCTCATATCATGGATCTTGCATGAACGGAGTCTGCGTAAGTCTATCTTATTTCATGTGCCTCTTCACGCTTATGAATTTGTTTGTGCAGGCCTGTGACTTGGGTTGGACCGGAGGTGATTGTAGCCTGGTCGATTCGCTGTTCCTTTGCAGCCAAAACTGCAGTGCTGGATACGTTGGTTCCGGATCGAATGGCAGTTGTTCGTGTACTCCCATACAGATGACGGGATCGTGTATCACTAATTGCAGTGGACATGGTCAGTGTGTCGGGACTGGTAATAATTTCAGTTGTGCATGCGAATTCGGGTGAGGAGCCTATTTCACTGTCGAGCAAATTTGCGGTTCTGACGGCTACTTGCTGCAGATATGGAGGCATGTTTTGTGAAAACATGTTGTTGAATTTGTATACCGATACCAGCGCTATTCTCTCTGGTGGATGTCCTGGTAATTGCTCTGGACATGGAGCCTGTCAGAATGGTAAATGCATGCTCTAGTCATGATTCCTCTAAACTTTGTTGGTGGCAGGCACATGTAATTGTGATCCTACTTGGGTTGGACAAGACTGCAGTCTAGCATCAGCTAATGGATGCCCAGCAGACTGCAGCAACAGAGGGACATGCACACAAAATAATACTTGTCTATGCGATCAAGGTTGGGTTGGTATTATTTGCGACACACCCATGGTCTATGACAGCTGCAACCTGAACTGTACAAGTAGAGGGATGTGCGTTAACAGCACTACCTGTGTTTGCGATCCTGGCTACACAGGAATATATTGTGAGCTGTCAATGCCAGTCAACGGTCTCATCCCATCAGCAGTCAATACCACATCGATCTGTCCCATGGGATGCTCTGGGCATGGAGCATGTTCTGCCAATGGAATGTGTCTGTGTGACGTTTCATACGTTGGCATTGACTGTTCCATCCAAATATCATCTATTTCGTTGTCTTGTCCGATGGATTGCAACGCGAGAGGCATGTGTCAATCGGGTACGTGCTTGTGCGATCCTGGTTGGTGGGGCGATTCGTGTCAGTATGACTTCAAATGCCTCAACAACTGTACCGGACATGGAGTTTGTGCCAACCAGACCTGCATTTGCGATCAGGGGTTCACATCGAGTGATTGCAGTGTACCAATTACCTTTTGCCCAGCTGGCTGTTCTGGTCATGGAATCTGCGCAAATACATCTTGCGCTTGTTCGCCTGGATGGTCAGGAGAAGACTGTTCGAAACTGTCATGTCCAAGTGGTTGTTCATCTCGAGGTGTTTGCCAGAGCGATGGCACTTGCTTCTGCGATGCAGGATATTCTGGAAGCGCCTGTGAGATTTCCTTGTGCCCATCCGGGTGCTCGGGTCATGGAGCTTGTACGCACAATGGAACGTGTGTTTGTTACAAGAACTTTGAGGGCGCAGACTGTTCCATACTTGTTGATTGCAACAGAAGGGGAAAACGTATCTGTGGATTTTGCAATTGTGAAGCAGGATACAGAGGAGAAGAGTGCGAGATTGATATGTGTGCAGACAGCAGAATTTACCAAAATGGAGATTACACTAAGCCGATTCAGGTCTGCTCGGGTCATGGACTTTGTTCTTCGTTGGGATGCATTTGCGATGAAGGATGGAGTGGGATGAATTGTTCGCGGCCAGCCGTCTGCAGCGGTGAAGTTGTTTGCCTCATGAATCTTCATGACTGAGCATCTTCCACAGGTCTCAACAACATGTCATGTAGCGGTCATGGTTTCTGTTCAGGAGGACCCGGCGCATGCGGTGGGGCAGACTGTCCTGGTGTCTGTACGTGTGACAGAGGTCGCTCGGCGATCTACGTGGGGGAGTACTGCGAGACTGCGAAATGTCCCGGCAAAGTCAGCCCACAGAATGAAGTGATCGAATGCAACAACAAAGGAATTTGTGGAACGAGCGGTGCCAACAAAGTTTGTATTTGTACAGTGCAGAATGGTTTGAGGTGATGATGTACCATGCTGAAACAGAAGCTCCTCCTGACTTGTGATTTGCAGTTACGAGGACACAGACTGCGCAAGGCCTCCAACTTACTCCCTCTCAAGCATCTCACCCAAAGTTGGTCCAGTAGTGGGAATGACACCCATCACACTCAATGGCGCTGCGTTGGAAAGAGTAATCGCATGGAATAATCTTATCGTGGACTGGCAAAATGCTCCGAACAGCACAACCTTGTACTGCAACTTTCACTCATGCAGCGACCCGCAGGTCGATGTTCGAACGACCCAAATTGTGAGATTCTAGCCATCTTTTGTCCTTTCAATCTTTAACCTTGAGGTAACAGGTTTGGAGAGCGACTGTGGTCCGGGATTACACTCCTGAGTCAAGATTCTACCAATACACTCCTGGGGTTCTTGACCTGAGGGTAAACTCGTTAGATTGTGCGATGAAGGTTGCTGATGAGATCGAAGATCGGAGACGATGTCATCGTATACGGCTGCAATCCTTGCGATCCAAGAGGAATCAACGGATGGCTGGTTTGAGCAGACAGCAGACCTTACTTGAGCCAACTTAACTGATTGATCTGCGCAGATTGCAAGTGTGAATGGGAAGATTGGAAAGGCCCCGATGGAACTAAATTTCTATGACTATTACAATGATGGAGACAAGCTCAGCTGCATGTCTCCTCAGGCCGACTATGCGGGAACGCAATGTGTCACTATCGATGGCGCAACGGCTGGATCGGTAGTGATCCGTGGATCTGACATAGTCATCGAGGGAAGTACAGCCAACTTTGAGTATTACACCCCTGAGGTGAAGACTCAAAGGCTCAATCCTAGTTATTCACCGCTCCGCCCGATTGGTTTGAATCGGGGCCCACAAGACATCAACCGACAAACTACAGTGAGTTCTCCCTCCTGAATCGCTCACCCTCTTACCGTTATCGCAGATCACAATCACAGGTTCATACTTCCCGCAAAATGGAATCTTCACCTGTCAGTTCTATGACCCTGTTTCCCTGGATGATCAGTGTCAGTCTCAAGGAAGCTTCATCAACATCGCCACTATCCAATGTCCCGTGCCACAGATGAAACGTGCCAAGAATCTCGTGGTTTACACGAGCTCGAATGGATACCAGTTTGAGAATGTGGGAGCAACCTTCTTCACGTACGCCGTCCTTAGCATCGATCCTGTTTGCGTTCCTGTCCTTGGCAAAGCAATCGTAACTGTGAAAGGAGATAATTTGATTATCCCAACATTGAGCGACCAGATTTTGACGCCATATTGCAGGTCAATTATTACATGATGCTTGGACGAAAGACGATCTGACCATGTTCTTCAGGTTCGGTCGAGTTGCAGAATCGACTGGTACAACATCGAACGACAAGTTGACTCAGTGGTGGGCATACCATACCCCCGCATATCAGTCGAGCAGCTTGACTGGAGCCCTGGAGTGTCCGGCTCCGCCCAAAGATATCTTTCTTGAAGCAACAGATTTTTCCCTCAGTTTGGATGCATGCGAATGCGGCAGGTATACTCAACTACTATTGAGTTGTTCTGTTGCCTAATATGCCTCAGTCTTGGTTGTCCAACCTGCTTGAAGGTGTACCTTCCTCCGATTGGAGGGCAGGTCAGTAACAAGTCCCTGCTTTCTGCCTCGAAGGATACGGTTTGTTGACATTTACCTTAGAATTACTTCTACGGGCAATGGGACTCGACCGAGGGTCCCTGGCACGACATGTGAGGTGCTGCTCTTGAGAACGAAGTATCTCACCTTCTGACCAGGACTGGGTTGCCGAAAGTCTTCTTTCATACTGTGCCTGTTCCAACCCTCGTGTCAATCACACCCTCTGCTGGATTTGTTGGAGGTGCTGTCTTTTTCTGCTCCGCTTTTCAGAATGTTTGACTTTGGCGCTGCAGGAGGTACATGGATCACTCTGACCGGATATAACTTTTCCTCTCCATCATGCCCAACTACACTCAATCAATGGCCTTCATGCCGCTTTGGATCAGCGGTATTTCTTCGATTTCATACCGCTCTTTCAGATTGTAAGTTCCACAAAACAGGTCTCACGGCAAGTTCAAGTCTTCAGCAATACAGTGATCACCTGTAGGAGGTGATCTTTGAATCTTGCAAGAGATATCTTTTCATGTTGATTCGTGTTTTCCGCGCAGTCCTCAGCTCAAGATCGGGATGGAAGCCATCTTCCCTACCGAGCTTGCCATCGATGGCCAATCTTACGTTGGCAACAGCCCCTTCCAATACATTCTGCCCTACGGTGTTGCTTCGGCGTACCCTTCTCTCGGCCCAGCCAGCGGTGGGACTACGATCATGTTGGAAGGTGAGGATAGTTCTAGTTGAAAGCTCCTTGTTTCCTAACCTCTTGGTCATGTAGCCACAAATCCTATGAATCTCGCCGTCAAGGCAAGCACCTTCAGAAACACAGGAGGCATGGCTTGCGTCTTTATTACGGTAACTGTAGACCTTGAAATCTTTCTCGTTTGATCGGTCCCTACAGAGTTTAGGAACGCGACTAGAGACGCTTGCTACCTTCAGGAGCACAAACTTCGTCACCTGTTCTACACCTGATCTCGGTGATGGGTCGAAGCTCGGATACTCCACGTTGGCTTCTCTCTTCCTGTCGCCTAATGGGCAAGGACAGGATGACTCCCAGCTCTCGCTCACACACACCAATTTCTTCTTTTATCCATACCCTCAGCTATCGAAGCTTGCTAACCCCTTTGCTGGAATCTCAGGGGGAAACCAAGTGACAGTCTTTGGAAACTTCTTCACGAGCACTGACAGCGTTTTCTGTTCGATTGGAGATGTCATAAGTCCTGGAAAATTCGTATCCTCGACGCAGACTATCTGTACAGCGCCAGCACAGTCTACTCCAGTTTCAGACAAGGTCCGGCTCAGTTTCAACGGCGCTGACTTCTCCGACGAGTTCCTTATGTTGAGATACTACAACGTTCAGTCGATTTCACCGTCCCTTGGGCCTGTGGATGGGGGGTCTCGCTTCAATGTGCTTCTGAGTTTTGCTGATAACTTCATACTGTCTCAAAGTATATGCCAGGAGACAAACCAGGTTAATCTCTCCTACACGCAGCTTACCAAAGACAAGTGTTCCGTTGGAGCATTCGATCTCAACAACTTCCAGCTCATTTTTGGTCGTACTGATGCAAATATAACAATCAGCAACGGGTACCTTGCATCAACGAACTTGATCAGCTTTGTTACACCAAACCCCTTGGAGGACAGCAATGGCAAGAGCATCACTCAGCGCCAACAGTTCAATGTCGGAGTAAGCTTCCCAAATCCCCCATTCTTCTACTTTGGGAACAAAGACTTTCTCGTGTACAGTGCTATAATAACAAGTAGCACTAATCCATACGTACGGCAAGTAACTGCCGATTCAGTGACAATGAAGTTCTTGGGAACAGGGTTTCAGGGTCTTCCCGTCACATGTAGATATAAATGGATGCAGCTGCAAGGGGTCGAGAATGAAGGCAACAATACAGGACAAAATATCTCTGATACTGAAATTCAATGCACGCTCCCGGCTATTCAGGACGCTTGGAAGTCGGTTGATACAGTGCTGATGGATATCAGCTTCAACGGGGTCGATTTCTTTTCCACCCTCTTCTCCATTCCCATCGTAAATTATCCAACCGTGAGCTCGGTCAGACCGAGTTTGGGAAGAGCGTCAGGTGGCTCAAAGATCACTCTTGTGGGGACGAACTTTGGGAACTATGCGAACCTTTCTTGTGTCCTGAAATCCTCTACTACTGTTTTCATACCTGCTCAGTATGTCAGTAGCACTCAGGTCACTTGTACAACCCCCCCTGGAACTGCTGATCAAAGTTTCGATATGTATGTCTCCTTGAATGGGGTACAAGTTATCGACTATTCGTCTCCCAACGGCAAGCCACTCTTCAGATACTACAGAGATCCTACGATCCTTTCGATCAGTCCATATACTGGAGGAATTCTGGGGGCGAATCAGACCGTGACCATCTTTGGAAAGGACCTCTGCTATTCTTCCTCCCCATGTTACTCGCTGATGTTGAAGGTGACTTACACCGGCTGCACAGCGCCATCGTCTTGCTCTACCGTGGTTTCTGCTACGCCCGTGAACAACGATGTCACGGCTCTCTCCTATCAAATATGGAATCCCCTGAAGCTTCAAGATCTGCTTTATGGACCACCATCTCTTGCCATCGAGTTGTATCTGAAAGATGCTGCGGACATCCTCTTCAACTATACTTACCAGCTGTACAGCTCATCGGTCGGGTGTGCAAACTGTATATGTATGGATTCGCAAGGAATCTTTCGGAACTTGACCTCTGAATTTGGATTTACTGGAGAGCTGTGCCCGTACACTCCGGATGTGATTTCTTACATTCCGGTAACCGCCAAGGAGAGCGGAGGTACAAGTCTGAATTTTGGCTTGAGATCCTATAAGAAGTGGGTTGGTTTCACCTTTGAATTGGTCTGCGTATTCCATTTCCAATTTGACACTGGAAGTAAGTACTACTTGCGGAATGCAACCGTCACAAGCGCAACTTGCTGCGGAGGCAACAACCCCATCAGTGCCGATGTCGACAGATGCTACTCTTGCGCCGCTCCTCCTCTGAATCAGCTGTTTCCAACTGGGGCATCGCGGTACTTCAACAGCACAGTCAGCATTGCTGCAATGCGACGGAGCTTCAAGGATTGCTCCTCTACCGTGCT